GGGTAGTTGGGTAACTTTCAAGCAGGTAGCGGTCTCCAACATCCCCGTTTCTCATCTTGTTAAATCTTTAAGCAGAAGCAGATTTGGGGACTGAAAAGTGCCAAGAAATAAAGCAAGAATATCTTGTCACCTCTTTGGTTCAGGGGTGGGAACTGAGAACCCATTTTTCTTGTCTCCCTCCCCTCAAACTTGCCCCAAGAGCTCTTTGTCAAGATGAGTCCTATTGGTTTTCGCCCCTTCTTCTCTCTCAAGCAAGGAGCCCGGGTGGAGCAGTGGCTATGTGTTGGCCTGGGATCCTTGAGGTCAGCAGTAGGAAATCACCAGCTGCCCCTCGGGGGAAAGACAGAGCTCCGACTCCCATAAACACAGTCTCAGAAACGCACGGGGCAGCTCTGTCCAGTCCTCAAGAGTCATTCAGAGTTTGCCTTGCCTCAGTGGCAGTGAGTATCGTTTTGATGGTTTTGTCCCTTCTGAAGGAGCCCTGCAGTGGTTAGGCACTTGAATGCTAACAGACAGGTTGACAGTCCATTGCGCCTGCCCCCTCCTCCCAGTAGTTGTTCTGTTTGAGCCCACGTCTGAGGGCTGTATGTTTGTTTTGCAGCCACTGTGTCACTCCACCTCACGGAGTCTTCCTCTGGATCACTGGCCCTCCCCTTTAATAAGCGTGATGTCCTTCTCCACGGACCAACCCCTCCTGATAACATGTCCAAAGTGCAAGAGGACTCTGACTCTACTTCCAAAACAGATCTATTCCTTCTTGCAGTCCATGATATATTCAGTACGCTTCACCAACATCATAATTCAAGGCATTGATCCTTTTTTGACCTAACTTTCTTTCTTCTTCTTTTTTTTTTAGCTTTGTTCATGCTTTAATTCATAGTTACATTTTTATATCATTTTATTGGGGCCTGTTATAGCTCTTATCACAATCCATCCATGCATCTATGAGTCCAACAAATTCGTACATATGTTCCCATCATCATTTAAAAAATATTTTCTTTCTACTTGAGCCCTTGGTATCAGCTCATTTTCCCCTCTCCCCCACCCTCCCTCCCTCATAAACCCTTGATCATTTATACATTTTTTTCCCATGTCTTACACCAACTGCTATCTCCCTTCACTCACTTTTCTGTTGTCCATCCCCCTGGGAGGGGGTTATATGTAGTCATTGTGATCGGTTCCCTGTTTTTCCCCCCACCTTCCCCTTACCCTCCTGGTATGGCTACTCTCATTATTGGTCCAGAGGGTTTTTTCTGTTCTGGATTCCCTGTGTTTCCAGCTTTTATCTGTA